CTGGGATGAGATCAGGCCATGGAGCGATACCCACACCCACCACCAACCACCATTCTGGGAAGGGCACCCATCGAATAAATCCTCCTGGTTTACTTTTGTCAGCCTCCAGGGCTGGCCTCTGGGCACCACATGCTTGGCACACTGCAAAGCAGCACCACGATGGAAGTGGCTCCCCATAGGGAGGAGAGTCCCTGAGGATCTGGTATGTGTGCCCTGGGCAGAGGGGCTTGGGCCATCCTGACTTTAGGGGTGAGGGGAACAGGGTTGCCTGACACCCCAAGAGGCCTCGGTGGCCATGTCTGACCACAGCCCACCAGGCCCAGCCTGGACCTTACAGGGCCGCTCAGGGGACCTGGTGCCTAAGATGGTGTCGGCAGGGACACGAGGCCCGATCTGGTGGTGAGGAAACCATGTCAGTCCACCTCCTCTCACCCGGGAACCCCTCCCGCCCCGGTGGGGGTGCCTGTATCCGCCATTAGAGGGAAGAGGCCCCGAGGGAACATTTACATCTTTGTAGGAGGCCGGCTCCTCCAGTGACGGGTGGTGCGCCGGACTGCTGCCGCTGCTGCCCACCCGGGGAGGAGGCTGCGGCGGGCCTTGGCCTTCTCCCGGCTTCTCATCAGCGGGCGGGCGGGGGAATGGGCCGGCGGCGGGGCGCTCCCGGCCGCTCTTCTCCGGCAGGCCCCGGCCGGGCGCGAAGCGGCTGCTGGCAGCCAAGGTGTCTCCGCCGCGGGGGTCTTCCTCGCCGTTCTCCTCCTCCTCGTCTTCTTCCTCCTCTTCGGGGGGCTTGTGCCCCTCGACGTCCACCTCGGGCTCATCTTCCTCCTCATCCTCCTCCTCCTCCTCGCTGCTGTCTTCGCTGGCGAAGCTACAGCTGGTGCCGCCGGGCGACAGGAGGCGGTGCGGGGTGTGCGGCGGCGGGGGTAGCGGGTGGCGATCGCATCCCGCCTCCTCGGGTGGCGGCGGCGGCGGCGGCAGCAGCAGCTGTAGCGGCGGCGAGGCGGAGCGGGCCGCGCCGCCGCCGTGCAGCTTGGCCAAGCTCTCCGAGTCTTCCTTACCGCCCACCGGACGGAAGGCGCTGGAGTGGTGGTACCCACCGCCCCCCTTGCGCCCGCCCGCCGCTTCCAGCAGGTGCGGATGGTGCGCGGGGACCCGTCCGCCGCCGCCGCCGGTCCCCTCGGAGGCGGAGGGAGAGGCGGGCTCCGCGCCGCCGCCAGGGGGCGACTCGAACAGCGGGTCCCTGGCGGCGGCGGCAGCGGCGGGCGGGGGGGCGGCGGCTGGCGGGGTGCCCATCCCCGGCGCCCCGGTGCCCAGTCCCGCGCTCCCCGCCTCACCGCCGGGCTCCGACAGGTCCAGGAAGGCCTGTCGCAGCAGGCCGGCCCCGTCTCCTAGGGAGCAGCCCAGCGCACCGGGGGGCTGCGGCGGCGGCTGCAGGTATGTAGGCACCGGCAGCCCGCCCGGAGTACGGGGCGGCCAGAACATGCAGAAGGGCGGGTAGAAGGCGGCGTCCTTTCTACCCGGCCAAAAGAGCCCCGAGAGGCCGCCGCCCGCAGCTGCCCCACCGGCTTTGTGCGCTGCCGCCCCGCCGAGGGCATCGGCCCCGCTGCCACCGCCTTCTTCCTTCTTATGGCAGAGGCCGAAGGCGGCGGCGGGGAAGCCGTAGGGGTGCGGGAAGAGCCCCCCGCAGCCCGGGAACTTCTGGAGCACGCCGCCGAAGGAGCCCTTGCTCGGCACCGGGATGACCGGGTAGCTCCGTGGGCTCTTCCCGCCGTGCGCCGCCGCCGCCACGGCTTCTTGCAGCTCCTCATCCTCCTCGAAGCGCGGACGTTTCTGGTGCAGCTCCGGCGGGGCGGCCAGGAGATGCGGGCTCAGCAACCCGCCGCCCACCACGGCGGCCGCCGCCTTCACTGAGCCCAGCGGGTGGCAGGCGGCGGGGGCAGCGGCGGCGGGGGCCGGCGGTGCGGGCGGCAGGGCCCGCTTGCGGCTGCCGCCGTTGAACATGGCCTTGACATCCTCCCAGGCGAAGACCAGCTCGTCCTGGGGGCTTTTGTCGGTGAGCTTCAGGTGGCGGCGCCAGGAGTTGAAGTTGGCGGCGTCGGGCTGGGTGTACTTGGCGTCCGGCGTGCGGTGGGAGTGGAAGATGAACTTGTTGGGGGAGAAGTACATGCTGCAGTAGCTGCACTTGATGCACTTGGCCCGGGAGCTGTTGTAGCGGGCCGGGATGAAGCTACCGCGGCAGCCCCAGGCGCACTCATGGGACACGTCGAAGGCGAAGTTATCCGGCAATTTGGGGGGCCGGTTCTCCCCCAGGAACGACTTGCAGAGCCGCTCTGCTTCCCTCTTGGTGATCATGCCGCAGCGGCGGGAGGAGATAGGCATGGCCCCCGCCCGGCGAAGGATCTCCAGCTGCACCGGCGTGCATTGCACGCAGGTGATGCCCAGGGCCACCCGACGATTGTGGATTTCGTTGTAGCTAAAGTTTTTGAGGAGGGTGTTGGAGATCTGCGCCAGGCACAACCGCTCTTGCCCGTCGATGACCAGGGAGACGATGGGGATGCCGTAGAGGATCACCTGCCCCACCTGGTTGGGCTTCATAGTGGCGTGGCCGGCTCTCGGCTGGTTCATGGACTCCGGTGGGTACGCGCTGGACGGCGACGGCAGCAAGATGTCGGTGGGGCCGGGCAGCGGGCTGCTCGCCATCGTCTCAGCACCTAGGGGGCTATTCTGCGCCAGCTGCGGGTGGGGAGGGAGGAGAGAGACACAGCGCCGTCAGACGGGACCTCCCGGGGACTGGGGGGACCCTCCGCAAGCACTACCCACCCCAGCCCCACGAGTCTCCCGGTGTGGGGAAGCGCCACCGGAGCGACCGCGGTCCCCGCGGACCTCCCTCCCCGGCCGTACCGGGTCTCCGACGTACGCATCCCACTGCAGGTGCAGAGATGACGGTAAATGAGCGGACCGCCCCCTCCCGTTAGGAAGATGCCCCAACCCACGGTTCATCCCGAAACACGCCCCCGAGCCGTGGGTTAGCCTCCCCGTCCTGGAAGCCCGTCGCTGCCCCAGCCGCTGCTCTTCGGCGGTAACCGCGGGCAAAGCGCGGAAGGGGAACGAGGAAAAGTTTCTCTGCTCTCCGCGGCTCTCAGCGCATCCTCCCCGCGCGTCGCCCGTTACCTCCGCTGCCGCGCTCTATCCGTGCCGCCGCCGGACCCTCCTCCAGCCGTGCCGGCAGCCGGGAGGGAGGTGCATCCCCGAGCCCCCCGCCGCGGAGCAGCGCGACAGCCGCAGCCCGGCCTTCGGTGCAACGCATACGGCAGTGGCTGCGGGTGCGGAACCTCCGCGGCTCGCTGGGCGCGCCCCCCCGTGGGCACGGTGACGTCAGCGGGGCGGGAACGGGGGGGCCGGGCCCCACCGTGCTCTCCCCCCCAACCGGGAGGGCGAGGAAAGAGGGGTTGGCGGGGGGGGGTGCTCCCGAAACCCTCCTTTCCCATCCCCCCCGCACCGAGAGGGATGCGGACGTCCCGTCGGGGGACGGGGCCCCCGAGCGCTGTACCGCTCCCACCCTGCCCCGGTCCCCGGCGAGGGAACGGAACAGTTGAAAGTAGGATGCACTTTGGGGTTTTCTTTATATCCCTCTTCCTCTCCTTATTTTTTTTTCTTGATTTTCCCCTCTTTTCCGCCTTTTCCCTTTTGTTCTTTCCCCTTTTCTTCCTTTTTCTCTTTTTTTCCTCTTTCCGTTTTCCTCTTTCCCCTTTTTACCCTTTTTCTCTTCTCTTTTCCCTCTTTACCTCTTTTTTCCCTCTTTCCCCTTTTCCCCCCCTTTTCCCCCCTTTTCCCCCTGTTTTCCCATTTTCCCCTTCCTCCTCCTTCACCCAACTCCGCAGGTCTGAACCGAGTCGCTTCCAAATAACTGGGTATACTAGACCTAAACCCCTTTTAGCACCTTTTCGTAAACGATAATTTTTAACGGGGGTATACGAAATTGTGGGCGAAGGGAAGGGGGAGGAGGGAGAAAGGGAAAAAAAAAAGTTGATTTCACGCCACAGCCGTGTCCTCGCGGGCACAAACAACTGCTGCGAACCGCATTTCCCTTCCCAAATATACCAAGTGATTCTCCAGTCCCACTTGCAGAAGGACCCGGTCCCAGGTTCTTATTCCCATGAAGAGCAACACAGCGGAGATACAGTTTTTCCCTAATTGCTTTATGCCCCGTATTAAGGATGGAAAAAGATCGTATCAAAAGTCCGTAGCGGGGTGGCCACGTCTGCCTGCCTTTTCCGCAAGGAATTGAGGGGGAAAAGTAGATTTTCCCACTATCTACCCCCCAAAAGCACCGTTAACCTGGTGGGGCTCTGCTCCGCGCAATGCGGGGTGAGGATGGGGCCGGCAGCAAGGAGCGGGGAGGCCAAACCCCCTTAACTCCGCACCTTTCCAAAGGGCAGAACTGCGGAACTGGCTGAAAAACGGGATCAAGAGAGCGAAAAACTCGGTTCTAGCTAAAAACGGGAGAACATCTGGAGCGCCAGTGTTCCTGATACCTCTCTGATTTTTGTCGTTGTTTAGATGATTCCATCTCTCTTTTTACGCCCAATACCAAACCTTCCTGGACACTTGGCTTCAAAAACTGGTGTTTGAGGGGCTTTTTGTGTTCTTCCTTCCGTTTCCCGCACCTCTCCCCTTGTTTTTTCTTCCCGGGCACCACAGATCCAGGAAAAAATCTCCGCACCGACCTTTCACAACACATCAACGCTAAAGCTCACAGACTCTGTCCACTTTCACCCCTAGTAGCGAAACGGAGCCCCCCGGTTCGCTCGGGTCGCTGCTAACTTTGAAATAATAAAGACAAAAAAAAATAATAAAATAAATCACACCTCTCCTTATTACTTCTGTCACTTCTGATTAAACCTTTGCTCGCCCCCGTGCCGCCACTGTCACACGGGGACTTCCCCTTTCCCCCTCCCTCCTACTTCTCTCGTCTCCTGCACGGAGCCTGCTGCTTTCGTGTGAGCAAGAGCTATAAGCCTCGCGTTGGTGACATTTTAATCAATGCTTCCTAGCCAGACTGACATGAATTTTACACTTCAAAACTCTCCTCCGCCGGCTAATTGATTCAAATTGTTTTATTGGTTAAACCCGTGTCACACATTGTATGATCTATTACCACACCACGGAGAAAATCTCCCCTCCTGTCTTCGCTTCCTGGTCGGCACCAGGAGGAACGTGGGACCGGGTACTAGGGGTGGATTTTGGGGACAAGCTGCCTGTTCTTGAGGGCTCGCGGTCCCTGCATCCCCGCAGCTGCCGCTCCCCATCTCTCAGTCACCGGTGGCTTTTTCCCCCATGGTTCCCGGGAGAGCCAGGGATGGACAATCTCGCCTCAAGCCCTAAGCCCGGTGTCGGAAGAGAAGGAAAAGCGGATGCAGGAGGCAAAAGGGATGAGATGCGAAAGAGCTAAGCGGGTTCTGTAAAGCGCTTTCAGCGAAGCAGCCTGGGAGAGACTGAAAAAGCGCGACTGGTACGAGGGAGTCCTTAGCCAACGACGGCGGTTTATTTCGTGATGAGTAAACGAAAAGCAAAATAAAAGTGTTTCTTCACGTGCTCGGTGCTATTGACCCCCATGAATTCCGTTGAGAAACTTGAGGATCTTCCTCAATTTCACGCATAGGGGAATAGTCACCATGGGGACTGGGTGTACACATTCCAATGGAAGGGAGAGGGTGCAGAACCACTGCCCACAACCACACCGAGTGGCCTTGGCTCGGTGGAACTCTCCAAAGCGGGAACAGAGACTGACCCTCACCAGCACCTTAGAGAAGTGGGGCAAGAGCGCACCGTTCTCTACTTTTTCCCCTACTTAAGCCTATTGGGAAACCTAATAGGTAGCATGACCCCAGTATGGGCAGGTGGGATGAGCTGCCAAGGAAAGCCTGGTTCACCCAGGGGCCAGGCAGCTCCCAGAGGTGACCCCCAAGTGGGCAAGGCCCGCGGGGCTGCTCCGGCAGCGGCTGACCCCATCGTGGTGTCCGCGGTTCGACTGGAGCCCAGGCAAGGGGCGGGAGGGAATCCCGAGTTGAGGTGGGGTGTCTGCATTCATGGCCCCGGTAGGTGCAGACCTGGGTTCCTGTCCTGCTGCCGCTTCCAGTTACTCCCGTTCATTTCGTTATTTGCTGTTGCCGTTTACAACACCTGGGTTGGAGTCACCTCCTCAGAGAGGAGAGGGGAAGGTGGACAAACTTCTCCCGGAAGCCTGGAAGTGATAAACCGTATAGTCCTGGCTCCTTTTCCCCTCTTCCTTCCCTATCGCGATTCTGCCCTCCAGGGCTGAGCGGAAGGAGACAGCAGTAGCTGCGAGTTGCTTCGTGTGAAAACGAACAGCTGAGGAAAGCGGCCAAGTTTCAAGCACCCCAAACAGCCCTCACAGCCTTTATTTACTTCCATAGCTCTTAAATATTGAGGCAGAGAGGCCACAAGGTGGGAGATAACCTTCGTGCGTTTAGAAAACCACAAAGAAAACCACCCCCAGCGCGTACACATGTCCTTCTCCCGCCTCTCCACATCCCATTGAAACTCGCAGCAGCGTTAAGTACCCTACACACAAGGTGCCGTTGCACATTATAAAACCGCTTCACTGAACAAATTTTAGGCAGCGAAGGAGGTTTTAAAAATACTTGTGGGTAGATTTCGCTTGCGCTGCTTGGTCCAGAGAGAAACTCTCGTGTATGTATATTAATCCCGGTTTATTATATTGAGCAGAAAGAAGACAGGGCATTTGGAATAGAGGTGGTCCCATCTGGAAAACCCCGGAGCTCATTTAGATCACATCACTTCGGGCTTTTGTCTCTGCTCCTGAATAACCCAGCTAGACACAACAAAAGGGCAGACATCTCTCGAGGAGGGTTGGTTGGTTGTTTTTTTTCTTTCCAGTGGCAAGAGGACGCCTCAAAAGATGCATCTGTAATCATAATAACGGGAGAGGGAAAGACTCAATGTGATCTTCTCCTGGCTCTCGAAAGGCACCGGGAGAGTTTAGGGATGGGGCATTTCTGGGTAGTTTGATATCCCTCCGGGAAAACCAGCACGGCGGCTTGAAGGGAAGGAATCAGCATCTTTTGTCTGAGGGAGCTCTCTGAACTTCTCCATTTAATATGTTCCGAGACATCCAAACCCGAGGTGGTCCTCGCCGAAGGTACGTGCAGACCTTAGACAGGAGATGCGGATACCCCCGCCGCAGGGTATGATGTTCCCCAGGCATCACCCTCCCGAATAGAAACAGAACCAAAAACCATTAAAAATAAAGGCCATTTGCGATTTTATTTCATCGTACGGGAAGGGACTGACAGCCAGGAGGAGGTAGGTGCTCCATAACTCGCCTGTAAATGCTAAAAACGGGAGGGTGCTTATGTTTGTCCTGCTTGGGGATTTGGGGGGGGGGGGGGAGGTGAGAGGAGAAGAGCCTCAAGTTTAAATGGAGATATCTTAGTTTAAATGGGGTTAGCGGGATAGGAAAGGAAAATAAAAACCCCAAACGACAAACACCTCTGTTATCGATTTTTCCTTTCAAACGCATAAATTAAAGCACCCTGAACATCCTCATCAGAAACGTGCCTGCTCCGAAGTATTTAAACGAGCAACAGACTTCCCCAGGGGGAGAAACGAGGTCCCCGGCCGTGCTGTGGTGAGGACCATGGAGCCCAAACTTCTGAGACAAGCGTGACGCCATCGGGCGAAGAGTCACCACGTCAGTAAATAATTCCGTTTCGCCTCCTTCAGAACCCAGTAACCTTGGGTGTCTTAGAAAGCAGATTGTACAAACAAGCAATTAAGATGAGCGCTGAGACTTTCAGAGGAGGTGTAATGAACCAGCTTTAATTACTATCTTGAAATTAAAAATGTAATATACAGATTTAAATTTATTTTCACCTAAATTGTGTATAAAATTATATGGCTTTCCCCCACCTCCCCTCCTTTTTCCCAGGCTAAGAAACGAATTGCCACCAAGCTTGCCACTAAAAAGTCTGAAGTACTTTCCAAACCCTGTTCCCCAACACGCAGTAATAATGATACATTTATCATTGCTGATGACCACCTACTGGTTTATTATTGCTTTGTTGCAACTATTACAATCAAGAGATTTCTTTATTTACTGTTAACATTCACTTAAAGCTGAGTGTTAATGACTCTTCTGAATCCACCAAATAATTTTCTGTTATATTTCAGGAGTAGTTATAGTTTGGGTTGTTGTGTTTGGTGTTTTGTTTTTTGTTTTTGTTTTTTTTTTTTTTTTTAAGGCATAAAAAGAAAAATGGTGTGTGGTGGTTTGCTCCTTTTTTATTTATATATATGTTTTATTCCTAAAAGGTTGTTTGAGAGGATTTATCTAAGTCGGATTTTCAACAAAGAGTTGCAAAAGCCTTGGCGTAATGCACGTACTTGACTGTAGCTAATTATGCGAGTATTTTATTACAGGAGATTCATTCATTATTGATAAATGTTTGCAGTAACTTCCT